CTTTAAACGTCAAAATGTATTATCGATTTAGGTCTCTAACGTTTCGTTTTGAACCCTAGTTTAATATGATGCCTTTCCTGATCATGACACGTTTATATTTTCACCCGTAGCAGTCTACTGTTTCACCCTACTTCCAGATCTAGGTGTGTTTCTATGAATTACACACTAATTTATTTTTTTATTGTACGTATTCAGAAAAAGTTTGGAAGTATGCACTGTTGGCCTTAACCTTTACTTAAAATTTTAGGGTTATTCAAAACCCAAGAGCCCGGCATGGCCAGATGGTTAGGGCGCTCGACTCGCGATCTGAGGGTCGCGGGTTCGTTCCACCAAACATGCTCGCTCTTTCAGCCGTGGGGGCGTTATAACGTGACGGCCAATCCCATTATTCGTTGGTAAAAAGAGTAACCCAAGAATTGGCGGTGATGACTAGTTGCCTTCCCTCTAGTCTTACACTGCAAAATTAGGGACGGCTAGTGGAGATAGCCATCGTGTAGCTTTGCGCGAAAATCAAACAAACAATCAAAATCCAATTTTCTCATTTTAATTATTCATTTATTTCTGACCTCTTAAATTCTTATGAAATATTTTATTCTATACGCATACATCACTATTTTCTTCTTAAGAGATGGTGCATTTATTCAGCCATTTTATCGCTATTTCTTTCATTACCTATTGATATCAGATGCTCATCTTATTACAATGACGTGTTGATATATTCTTTGATATACTTTCCATAGCCTGATATTGTTGTATCTATTACGCTCCACCTGAATCTTTGTTGCTATTGTGGTATGCAGACACATACCTAGTTACTCGTAATGTCTTTAATTAGTAAGGATCACATATTAAATTCACCAAGAATTTTCAATTTTTTCACATGTATACTTTTCTAGCTGTTTTAACAATATAACGTTGATCAAGTAGTTACGTATTATTCTGAATCATTTTCTACGGTGTCATATAGGCTTTCTCGTGAGAATGATTGCCATCAGTCTCTTCCAATGGTAGGTCAAGTGATACTTTGAGGTTTTTATGCCCATTAACGTTTCTGTTAGAATGGCCGTATGTGATATGGGTAACACTTGCGTACTGAGTAATATGGTATTATAAAACTGTGTGTATAATGGTACGATCTCTTAGTCTGGAACATGTTTTAGATACTAATGTCTCAACTACTAGGTTAATCCATGGCTTGATCCAGTGAAGGCACTGTCTTTCGTCCTATTTACTCGTCTCTTGGAGTGATTAGAATCAATAAATATTACTTTTCATTTTGTATAGATTGTATTTGGTCTATTTCTTCAAACTCAGACAAAGTTAGAGAAATCAGACTTACTCCATAATACTTTTCTGTTCGAACCTCTTGTCATCTGCGGGATAGTACCAGAAAGGTACTCAGAGTACCTAACCCTATTTTAGATTTTGTTTCTAATTACTATAATGAAACAACATTTAACTCTTGTTTCATGAAAGTAAACTTTTAACCTTATGCGTTTAAATATTCTATATTGCACATATAATAAAAAGTGTTTGCAAAGTGTGACGTTGTGTACATTATTTTTGTTGAGTAGTTATTTGTAAATATCTTTAACACAGCTAGTGCCAAATACAATATCAATCAATTGCTCAAAAAAGATTTGGAGCTCAGGATATTTTGGTTAAAATATAATACCAGATGTCAAATTCTAATCTCAAATTAACTCTATATACAAGAGATTTGTAAATAGATATTAAATCTTAGAAACGGTATCCCTATCACTTTCAGAACATATCTTCCACCAAGAGATATTTTTATCATTTTCATTATGCAGCTTATGCTCCGATTTCAATTACTTGTCCTGTGTAAGATGATCGTTGTTTGAGCCTTGTTGTTGAAATTATTTATTGGATTTAGGAAATTTAAATTCCAAATATGCTGAGCCGTTGTGAATTGGAAACTCGCCATCTAAAGTTCAAGATTGTGATTATTATAAGGACTGCTCCTCATTTTCAGGCTGTAAGTGTTCTGTCTCTCTTCTTTATTAACT